AGGAGAGGAGAGAGGAGAAGAGAGAGAGAGAGAGAGAGAGAGAGAGAGAGAGAGAGAGAGAGAGAAGAGAGAAAGAGAGAGAGAAGAGAGAGAGAGAGAGAGAGAGAAGATGAGAGAGAGAGAGAGAGAGAGAGAGAGAGAGAAGAGAGAGAGAGAGAAGAAGAGACAGACAGACGACAGAGAGAGAGAGAAAGAAGACAGAAGAAGGAAGAGAGAAAGAGAGAGATACGAAGCCAGAGAATGTTAGCGAAACGTTTTGGCATTACGATTTCCTTCGTCTATGCCACTCCTCTTTTATTTATCTTCACCCTACGCCTTCGCTTGATCACTTCGAATTAATTGCATAATCATGATTAATATGATGTCTTGTATAGTTTACAAATTGGCATGTGATTGGATAATGGCTGTAACGGTAATAAAAGAAAAGATAAGAGGAGAAAAGAAGAAGAAGAAGAGGAGGTGAGGAGAAAAGAAGAAGAGGAAGACGAAGGAGGAAGGATAAACAGAAGAAGAAGAGAAAGGAGAAGAGGAACGAGTTAGAAGGAGGAGGAGGAGGAGGAGGAGGAGGAGGAGGAGGAAGAGAAGAGGAGAGGGGAGAAGAGAAGAAAAAAGGAGGAGGAGAGAGGAAAAAGAAGAAGAGCGAAGAGAAGGAAGGAAGATTAAAACAAGAAGAAGAGAAAGGAGAAGAGGACGAGTTAGAAGGAGGAGGAAGAGGAGAGGAGGAGGAGGAGGAGGAGGAGGTGGAGGAGGAGGAGAGGAGGAGGGAGGAGAGGAGGAGGTGGAGGAGGAGGAGGAGGTGGAGGAGGTGGAGGAGGAGGAGGGAGGAGGGAGGAGGAGGAGGTGGAGGAGGAGGAGGAGGAGGAGGAGGAGGAGGAGGAGAAGGAGGGGGAAAAGAAGGAGAAGAAGGAGTAGGAGAAAAAGAAGGAAGACGAAGAGGAAGGATAAAACAAGAAGAAGAGGAAGAAGAAAGAGGACGAAGTTAGAGGAGGAGGAGGAAGGAGGAAGGTGCTGTGGTGGTGGAAGGAGGAGAGGGAGGAGGAAGGAAAAGAAGAAGAAGAAGAAGAAGAAAGAAAAAGAAAGAAGAAGAAGAGAGAAGGAGAAGAAGAAAAGATGAAGACGAAAAAGAAGACGAAAAACAAGACGAAGAAAAAAAAGGAGAAGAAGGAGAAAGAAGAAGACAAGGAAGAGAAAGAAAGAGGAAATAGAAGGAAAAGAAAAACAGAACGAAGAGACGAGGAGAGGCAGAGAAAGACGATAACAACAACGGCGAGCGAAAACCGTATACACGTTTTGTACACGAAAGCAAAACGTTTTGTACAACTTTTTTCTTTTTTTTAGCATCTTGTCGTTAGCCGGGGATGTGGATGTTCCATGATGAATTTTATTTATAAATATATATATTTATTCATTTTAAAATCTATGCTAAATCTTTCAGAATCCTCGTCTCTTAAATTCAAAGCAATACAGACTTACACAGAATAAGTCGTAAGTGGAATATAAGTGAGTGTGCGTTGTAAGTGATAAAGAGATACGATGAGTGGAAAAAAAGCCTAATCGGCAACTCTTCAAGGGTAGCCTTAATATAGAGCGGAGCGTTTCCGTCGTGCCATTTCTGCCAACACATTCGTGCGGTGCGTTACGTTTCTGCAAAAGTGAGTTGTTTGGTGCTGTTTTTTAATCATTTTCATCATCACCATCATCGAGAGGACTTGTTGATAATATTTCTAAAGGTTAGGAATGTAGGTTACGTACATAGCTATTTCTACAAGCCACGATCATCATTGACATTGACATTATCATCACCAATATCATATATCGCATTACCACCACTATCATTACCACCATCATCACCACCTCCGACATATCACCACCACCACACCATCACACCACGCCCCCACCATTCATCACCACTATCATCATCTATCATCGATCCAATCATCATCACATCACACTACCAATACTTCATATAACCACTCAATCCATCACCACCCCACTCATCATCATGGATCATACCCACCACCATCATCACCACCACTATCACATCATCACATCATCATCATCTGCATCACTCAAATAATGCAAATAACTTGTGTGTGCTTCCATTTAATTTTCGTACTGCTTGTGCATGGATTTTGACCCTTTCAGAGTTGTAAATTTGTGAAATCGTATTAGTGCCTTTCTCTCTCTCTCTCTCTCTGTTTCTTTCTCTTTCTCTCTCTCTCTCTCCTCTTCTCTTCTCTCTCTCTCTCTCTCTCTCCTCTCTCTCTCTCTCTCCTCTCCTGCTCTCTCTCTCTCCTCTCTCTCTCTCTCTCTCTCTCTCCTCTCTCTCTCTTCTCTTCTCTCTCTCTCCTCTCTCTCTTTTCTTCTCTCTCTCTCTCTCTTTTAGTTTCCTCTTCTATCTTCTCTCTATTTCTCCTCTTTCTCTTTTTCTTTCCCTCTCTCTTCTCTCCTTTCCCTCTTTCTTTTTTTCCCTTTTCTCGTTTTTTTCTTTTTCTCTCTTTACCATTTTCTTTCATTTTTTTCTCTCTCTACCTATCTATCTACCTATCTCTCTCTCTCTCTCCTCTCTCTGTCTTCCTTCCTCTCTCTCCCTCTCTCTTTCTGTCTGTCTTTCTTTCACTGTTTCTCTTTCTTTTTTCTTTTTCTTCCGCTGTTTTCTCTGTTTCTTTCCCCTTTCTCTTCTCTCCTTTCCTTCTTTTCTTTTTCTCTTCTCTCCTTCCTTCTTTTCTTTTCTCTTTCTCCTTTTTTGTCTCTTCTCTTTCTCTCTCTCAGCATCTTTCATTTTCTCTCTCTCAGTCTTTCTCTGTTTCTCTTTCTTTTCTCCTTTTTCTGTCTTTTTTCTCTGTTTCTCTTTCTTTTCCGTTTCTCTGTTTTGTCTCTTTCTTTCTCTTTTTCTCCTCTCCCTTCTCTCGCTCTCTTTTCTTTTTCTTCTTTAATTTTCTCTTTCTTTTAGTGTTATCTCCCCCTCTGTTTCATTTTCTCTTTTTTATTTTTTCTCTTTCTTTCTGTTTATCATTCTCTTTCATCTCTCTCTCTCTCTCTCTCTCTCCTCTCTCTCTCTCTCTCTCCTCTCTCTCTCTCTCTCCCTCTCTCTCCCTCTCTCTCTCTCTCTCTCTCCTCTCTCTCTCTCTCTCTCTCTCTCTCTCTCTCTCTCTCTCTCTCTCTCCCTCTCTCCTGTCATACTCATGCAATTTGATCATCCAGGGTCCGGATTCACTAACGCACTTACGATGGTAAAATCACTGGTAACTGTAGATACCATGGTAACCAGACAGCGGTGGTATTCACTAACAACTTACCATCGGAGTGACCATCGTAAATTTTACCAGCGGTCAGAGCGCTGGTAACTTATGGGAAGACGTTGTCATCACGTGTTATCTCGTCAAAAAATCAGTATCTAAGCAAAGTTTTGGGTTTGTTTTTTACACCGGATGTGACTAATAGGATGGCACACAGATATCACCATGCGGACATAGTGAAGAAAGGCAAATTTCACATGAAACTAGCAAGAATCAAAATCCACACAAATTCTCGTGAACTTATAGGCCTACATTATACTAGACTGCATGGAACCGATAAAGAAGTTAAGAAGTAACCGATAAATGATAATTATTACAGATACCATAGAAGAAAAACTACCCTGCTGATATATAAACTGACAAATCAATGTTAGATAAGTATAGCAATATCTGTCGGCATTTTGACAATAAACTCCAAAGTGCATGAGCAAGAATAAGCTTGAGATATTTCCTTTGACAACAAATGGCGATGAATAAAAAAAAAAAAAAATGTTTGATCCGG